AAGTCCTGTGAGATTTATGCTTTGAGGAGGTTCTATTTCGGTGTATTCAAAGGATTTGTTTCAAGATTTAGAGCTCCTTTGAGCAGTTCTTGTAGTGCTGGCTTGGTAGTGACGAATTCTCTCAGCATTTACCTGGAAAAGACTGTATCTTTCCTTCATTTATGAAGCTTAGTTTTTGCCGGATACAAAATTCTTAGCTGATAATTCTTTAAGGAGGTTAAAATAGGTCTCCAATCCTTTCTAACTTGTAGGGTTTCTGCTGAGAAATGTGCTATTAATCTGATAGATTTTCCTTTATACGTTATGTAATATTTTGCCTCACAGTTCTTAAGATTCTTTGCTTTGTCTTGACTTTAGATAACCTGATGACTATGTGCCTGAGTGATGATCTTTTTGCGATGAACTTCCCAGTTGTTCTTTGAGCTTCTTGTATTTGGATGTCTAGATCTCTAGCAAGGCTGGGGAAGTTTTCCTTGATTATCCCCTCAAATATGTTTTCCAAACTTTTAGATTTCTCTTCTTCCTCAAGAACACCAATTATTCTTAGGTTTGGACATTTAACATAGTCCCAAACTTCTTGGAGGCTTTGTTCATTTTTTAAAATTCTTTTTTATTTGTCTTTAATGGATTGGGTTAATTCAAATGCCTTGTTTTCGAGTTCTGAAGTTCTTTCTTCTGCTTGTTCGATTTTATTTCTGAGGCTTTCCAGTGCATTTTGCGTTTCTCTGTGTGTGTTCTTGATTTCCATAAGTTGTGATTGTTTTTATTTATGCTATTTCACTGAAGAATTTTCCTTTCTTATCCTGTATGATGTTTGTAATTTCTCTAAGTTAGATTTCACCTTTCTCTGGTTCCTCCTTACTTAGCTTCATAATCCACTTTCTGAATTCTTTTTCTGGCAATTCAGAGATTTCATCTTGATTTGGATCCATTGCTGGTTAGCTGGTATGATCTTTTGTGGTGTTAAAGAAACTTGTTTTGTCATATTACAAGAATTGTTTTTCTGGTTCCCTATTATTTGGGTAGACTATGTCACAGGGAATATCTAGGGTTCAAGGGTTGCTGTTCAGATTACTTTGTCCCATTGGGTGCTCCCTTGATGTGGTATTCTCCTGCTTCCCCTGCGAATGGGGTTTCCTAAGAGCCAAAATGTAATGATTGCTTTTGCTTTTCTGGGTCTTGCCACTCAGTGGAGCTACCGGGCTCCAGGCTGGTACTGGGGGTGACTGCAAAGAGAACTGTGATGTGATCCATCTTCAGGTCTTGCAGGCGTGGATACCAGCACCTGCTCTGGTTGAAGTAACAGGGGAGTGAAGTGGGTTCTGTGAGGGTCTTCAGTTTTTCTGTGTTCCTTCTGTGATATGTTTGCCTAGCCTGAAGTTAGACTTTCTCCTCTGTTTTCTTCTAGAAGTTTTATAGTTTTAGATTTTAGACATAAGTCTATGACTCATTTCAAACTTAATTTTATAAATGATGTAATGTAGAGGTTAAGTTCATCTTTGTTTTTCATTATGATCTCCATTTCTGAAAACAATCCTTTAACCTATGGAATTACCTCAGCATCTTTGTTGAAGATCAACTGACTACATAGGTATGGTCTAGTTCCAAACTCTGTACTGTTCCATGTATGTAGCCATCTTTTTATGCTAATACCACACTGTTTTAGTTAATGCAGATTTGTTGTCAGTCTTGCAATTAGGTAGTATAAATTCCATAAAATTTTGGAAAATTGCTTTGGCAATTGTAACTGTAATTTTATAAAAATTTTAGAATGAATATAACAATTTCTATGGTTCAAAAAAAAGAGCCCAGGGGACTTTGATTAGAATTGCTATGAATATATGAATAAATTTGGGAAGAGTGGAGGATATCTTAATATTGTGTCTGCCAGTGTGAATGTATTTATCTTTAAGTATTTAAATATTTTCATAATATTGAAAATGGCATATTTTCAACTTCATTTTGCAATTGATGTTGTTAGTACATAAAAATATAATTTATATTGACCTATTCTGTGGCACATCAAAATTTTAGCATTATTTCTAGTATCTTGGATGATTTAACTTTCTGCCAGAGAGGATTTACTTTTGCTTCTGACAGCTAGGGCATTAGTAGTTCTAGATTACTTTAGTATATTAGGAACTCTTATGATTCAAAGCTGGACTACAGCTCCTAAATAAGTGATCAATTTCCATTTTAACCTTATTCTTGGGGTAGAGTACTCTGGGGTTATGACTTAAAGGCTGAGGATTGAGGCTTATCAGAGGAAACTTCCTGGTGGTGTACTGAATTTCAGTTTCTATTCTCCATGAATTTGAAATAGGGCTTTTAGCCATATTTCCCCAATAAGCAGCTGTTGCTAGGATATAGATACATAAAGTATTCCCTCACTTCTTTGAGTTTCCTTTTCTTGACTAATTCTTTATTGTGTTTTTAGCTTCCATTGTCTTGAAGTAGATACTCTTTATGTTTTCTCCAGATCTAAGTTGTTTAGTTCACCTTTATCAGAGACTTACAATTTATTATTTAAATATAAACATGAGTGCTTCTTCTGAATTATTATCCCATCTATTTGCCTTCTTTGAAAGATCATTTGAAACCACTGAAGTAACATTTAAGTTATATTAACATTCTAAAGCTCTTTAAAAAGATATCTCTAAATATGTATCTATTCTCAGTACTCTACTATGTTAGTGCCAACGTTTACCAAAGAATACAAGGACTTCTTCATAGCCTTAATTATAATTTACAAATTATTATTTACTTTCCCTAGTTGCATTCATAATAACCTATACACATATTTTATTTATCTGTCTATATGTTTAATTTATATTTGTGTTACTCATGGAGGGTGTCCAGGTTCTTGGCATTTTGAACAAAGAATTGAACAAAATGTACAAAGAAAGGAAAGATTGAAGCAGCAGAAGAAGAGATTTATTGAAAACCAAAGTACATACGACACAGTGGGAGCGGGCCTGAACAAGCAGCTCAAAAACCTGGTTACAGAATTTTCTGGGATTTAAATATCTTCTAGAGGTTTCCCACTGATTACCTGGTGTACACACTGTGTAATTGGAGAGGATAAAGTGAAGTTACAAAGTTATTTACTTGGTGTATACCCTAAGCAAATGAAGAGGATGTTTCTTGACACAGCTGAATTGAAGTTACAAAGTTATTTACTTGCTCTAGAAAGTTGGTGTTTTTTTCCACTTGATTTAGTTCTAAGAAGTCCTTAGGTTCCCTGCCTCTGGACCTGAGATTTTCCTGCCTCATTTGTATAATAATTTCCGAAGTCCATAAGCATGTGTTAATTACAAATTTAGCAACCTCAAAACTAGCTGAACTTGGCTTTCAACTCCTGTTTTACATAATGCAGAAAACTTAATTCTCCAATTCAGCAAATTATGGATTGTTTTTGTTAGTCTTCATGTGGTAAATTCACACTCAATTCCAGACTTTCTTCTTAGCATCTTGATCTCTCTGGGAACTACAAATGTCCCAGGAAGTTATGCATTATTCAGGAAATGAAACGAAGAAAAGTTTATCTTCTCCTATGGTATATATCCTTGCACGCATTTTTTTTTACTTTTTTTAGGATTTGTTTTTTAGGCTAATTTGAGGTTCACAGCAAAATTGCAAAGAAGGTGTAGAGATTTCTCATCTATTTCCTGCCCATGCACATGCATAGCCTCCCTCATTAACATCGTCCACCACCAGAGTAGGTGGTGAGATGTGAGGGAGGGAAAGCATTCTATAGTCCCATTATTAAATCTCAGTCTTTTAGTGAGCCTGTGCCTCTGGACTGTGAACTTCAGAAATGCTTCTCAGTTCCACTTTGATGAAATAGCTAGAGTAGGCAGGAGTTGGGTATGATCTTTCCTTCAGGTTCATTAGGCTTTGATAAAACCCTGCAGGTTAGGCTCTGGTTAACTAGTTTCTTCTGAGGACAGGCCTTGTTAAGAGCAGAGTGTTGTCACCTATTTCAAAATAGTTTCTATTCTCTCTCTGCTAGAGCATGAGAGAATTTTTCTCTAATATTTACTGTGAGAACCTGAGCAAAATCCTGAAGGTAAAACTTACAAAAGTGTGTGTCAAAAAGACTGACAAGAGAAATTATTGATTTTTCAGTCTACTGAACTTTTTGTTTGTTGTTTGGACTGAGTGGTAACTTCCAATTTTCTTATGTGAGGAACTGGAAACAGGAAGTCTGCATACAATTTTGTGTACATCTCCTGATTATTCCCATTGTCTTGCCACAGTCTGTGCTTCCTATTACATGTGTTGCATTTATTGACAGTATCCTTTCATTTCAAATCTTAATCCTTTTTACATTTTCTAGTACACTCTTGAATATATCTACATGTCTAATGTATAAGAAATTATTGGATCTTATATGCAATAAGCTACAGTGCATAATATTTGATGAATCTATCCTCAGATCTAGTTACCTGGGAATATAACTCAACCATTGCTGCTCTTAACACACAATAAGCTGGAAAGGCAACTTCCCTCTTCTCAAGATATACACTCTGGGAAGTGAAGCACAGCCCCTACATCTTGGACTTTGCCTGAAATGGTCATAAGGCAGCAATATTATATTGATATCCAGGCTCTCTTTCTTCTTCTTTTCTTCCCAAACTCCTTTATAAAACTTGAAAAGCATTTTTACTCTTTATTTAGGATAGAGGAACATTAGCTTTCATATTATCAAGTATTACTTGAAACTCTTTTTATACAATTTGTAAGCTCTTGTACTTTGGAAAAAACTTTCTTAAAATGTTATCTCTTGCAATTCAAATCGTTAAACATTATTGTTTTTGATATAAGTTATCTAAATTCTATTTTGAAACTCAACAGGCTTCTTAGACTGATTTATAATCTGAGATTCCCCTGAGATGATAAATGACAATGATTTAATGACTGGAGGGCCTAAAGTCAATAAGAATATACAGGGAAAAACTACATACTTTAGTTTTAAAAATGAAAGAACATACACAGTTAAAAATATAAGAATTGGATTTTAGTAGGAATGATACAGATCTTTAAACACACAGTGCCGTGGTTCTTTATAGATTGTCTTGGATAATATCAATGATTTCATGGTAAACTTTATCATAGACATCTAATCCAAACAAAAAGTCTATATGATTGTAGTAAGAAATAGTTTTATGATAAATGCAGTTTGTGATTTCAGAATGTAGAATTTTAACGTCTTCGGGGTCTGCCAATAAGTCCCTTTCGCCATTCCAAATTGCGGTTGCTACATTCATGTTTGTCACATTGTATAATGGAGATGTTGTCTAAAAATAAATGAGTGAAAAAAGAGTTTTCATAGGAGATGATACATTAGAAGGTTTTCATTACTAGTTGTTTAAAAATGATGATTTTAAATACTGTTTTAAAATAAGTCAAATTTAATGGATTCAACTTAATGGATCTGCTGAAACAAAGGTATAAAAGCATGAATAGGCATTACAAGTTTCACCTGAAAATAAATCATACATAAATTTAAACTAGACAGTTTGCTCTATTCAAAATATTCAAACACTTCACAGAGGTAATTTAAGTACTATTTATAAAACATAAAATATTTTAAATCAAATTTTCTGTGGCAATATTACTATCAATATGTTAGTCAATAAATTATAAGTATTCGCAGTCAGTGTCAACTCTGATCTCACTGAATTTGACTTTCAAATTTTATATGAAGATCAGACTTTTATATGAGCAGATCACATCAGGCCTGGAGTTTAGCTGAGGCAGAAAAGTATGAAAGAAAAGCACAAACTTCGAAGTCAGACAGACTTGGGTTCTAGTGCTTCCATAATTTTGTCATTATACAATTTTTTTTTTTGAGACGGAGTTTTACTCTTGTTACCCAGGCTGGAGTGCAATGGCGCGATCTTGGCTCACCGCAATCTCCGCCTCCTGGGCTCAGGCAATTCTCCTGCCTCAGCCTCCTAAGTAGCTGGGATTACAGGCACGCGCCACCATGCCCAGCTAGTTTTTTGTATTTTTAGTAGAGACGGGGTTTCACCATGTTGACCAGCATGGTCTCGATCTCTCAACCTCGTGATCCACCCGCCTCGGCCTCCCAAAGTGCTGGGACATTATGCAATTTTTACCACAGTCTCATAGACTTCTAATTTTTCCTAATTATTATATATGTTTTCTTATCTTTCCAAATAGAATAACTGGTTTTAGGGTCAATAAATATATTACGCCTATTATTTCTTATTAACCAAATGTAAAGCTATGCATATAAAAAACACAATTTTTTTCCTCTTGAGAGACAATGACTTCTTCTACTGCCTGTCAACTTTTCTAGACTTATCCAGAATATTTGTTATTAAAATACAAAGAAAACATGTAAAAGCCACTTTGGTTGGATGTGACAATATGCATTCAAATAAACATCATCTTCATCTGCTGGTCCTTGTCAGTGTGTTATTGTACTCTGGGGATTTATAGTTGATCCTTAATCTACAGCAAAGTCATCTGAACAATCAGAAAGGGGGAGAATTTTTATTTCATAGAGAATTATGTACCTGATTATAATGAAGCAAGTTCAGATCAGTACTGCCCCAGTCATAAGCTTTCAAATGAGTAGAATTTAAAAGCTGAAAGAGAAACAAACAAGAAGACCATATCATTTGTTCATAACAGTGGCAGCTGAGCAAGTTAAGCATGCAATGCATATATACCCCCATTTTACTGGGTCTGCTGGTATTTATGCAGCTGGGTTTCTTTGTTCTTCTTTTCCTTTGGATACATAAATAAATAGAAGGGGTTGGAGATAGGGGAAGGGGAATCTAAAGAATATAATTTCATTGTCTTTATATAAATGTACATACGTCCATGGCCTTTTTCTACCAGGAGGGAGCCTCTTTTGGGGAAAGTAACATCAGGCTCCCTCAGATTTTCAGCTTCATCAACAGAGACCATCACTGAGTGTCTTGTACTCTAAGATAACACATGCCTAAAACACGTTGCTTCAAACAGAAGGGCTCAAGAGTTTGTCTCAGAAGTTACTTTTTGCTTTATCCCTTTATACTCACAGCCTCACCACCACTTTCTGGCCAAGGTTACTTATGACCTTGACATTTCTAGCACTTCGATCAATTCTGAGGAACTTTTTCATGTTCTCTATTGGCAGCACTTGACATAGTTGTTCATTCCCTCATCCTTGAGATCTTTCCTTCACTTAGCTTCTGGAACACCACAATTTTCTTGATCTTCATTTTCACTTACTGTTCTTTTCAGCTTTGTTTAGCTGATTTAGTTTCTGCCAACTGACTGTTCATCTTTTCAGATCTCAGTACCCAATCCTTGCTTAAAAGGATCTTATTCTTCTCTGTCTACAGTCACTTCATTTGTATTCTCACCCACTCTCTTGGCTTTATATGTCATTTACATTCAAAATGCTTATCTTCTTTTATAAGTATTTCCTAAATTCTAGGCTCCTATATACAACTGCTTACTCAATGTCATCACTTAAATATCTAAAACTTATTTTATCTTTCCTCCAAACCCTTCTATCATCAAACCTCCTCATCTCCTTTAATGGCAATTTTATCTTTTCATTACGTGTCAGAAACTTTAAAATCATCCAAGACTCTCTTTCTCTCTCACCTACAGAGTTCATTGTTAAACCTTGTTGCCTGCATGTTCATGATATACATGTACATGATATCCATATGCTTATTCAGACTCCATTCATTTTCACCACCTCCACTGTCAATACATCAGTCCAAGCAATTGTTAAATCCCATTTGGATTATTGCAATAATTTCCTAACTCCCACGGCTTTCACTCTTGTCCCACTATAGTCTGTCTACTCAACATAGCAGCCAATGTGTTCCTTTTAAAAGTGTAAACTATATCATGTCACTTCCCTGCTCAAAACATGTAGTGCCTACTCATTTCACACAGAGTGAATGCCAAAGTCTTTACAATGGCATACAGATCCCTCTTAGTCGTTATTTTTGCTTCCTTTCTCTAAGTTTCCCTTTTACTTCAGCCACACTTGCTTCTTAGCTGAGCCTCCCAGAAATGCTACTGAATATGGGTTTTGCATTGGCTACTCCTTCTATCTAAAATGTTTGCTCCACCCTCAATTGTATGGTCTAAATCTTGTGTCCCTGCAAAATTCATATGTTGAAATCCTAACCCCCAAAGTAATTGCATTAACAGGTGGAGCCTTTGAGGGAGGTGATTAGGTCACGAGGGCACAAGGAAACTCTTTTGCCCCTTCTACCATCTGAGGACATAGTTAGAAGGTACCATCTATGAACTGGAAAGTGGGCCTTTACTAGACACCAAATCTGTTAGCATGTTCATCTTTGATTTCCAAGATTAAGCTTCCAGAATTGTGAGGAATAAGAAATAAATTTCTTTTGTTTATAAATAAAACAATAAAAATGTATAAATTTCTTTTGTTTATAAGCTTCCCAATCTATGGTATTTTGTTATGGCAGCCCCAGACATCCATAGGGCTAATTACCTCACCTCCTCCAAATATTTTTTCAAATGTCACCATCTCATTGAAGCCTGACTTAACCTTTCTGTTAAAAAATACAACCCACTTCCCAACATGCCTAATCCCTTTTCCCTACTCTTTTCCTGCAGTTTCTCCATAGTTCTATTCATCCCTTCTAACACATTATAACAGGTTTTAAAGTTGACATGCTTATCATTTATTATCTATGTACCTACTAATATGTAAGCTTGAGGAAGACAGCAGTTCTTGTTTTGTTCACTGATGTAGCCCAAGAACACAGAATAGTACACAGACATAGTAGGTGTAAAATAAATATTGTTACAATGGATAAATATTTGCAAAAGTTGTTTAGATTTTTCTAGTCTAGCCATCACCAGAGAAGAAAGTATAACTTATCTTACCTAAATATCAGTGATAATAAATGTTTTCAGTAATTTATATCAAATCAATTACATTACAGATTTAAACATTTTGTAAACAAAAAAACCTTACCCAATATCTTAATGATTTTTTTTTTTTTTTTTTGAGACGGAGTTTCGCTCTTGTTACCCAGGCTGGAGTGCAATGGCGCGATCTCGGCTCACCGCAACCTCCGCCTCCTGGGTTCAAGCAATTCTCCTGCCTCAGCCTCCTGAGTAGCTGGGATTACAGGGATATTTTAAAGTTACCTAGTGTTTATGAACTTTAATGAACATTCATAATCATTAATCTTTTCAATTCTTACAATATTTTTCTAAGTAAAATCAGAGAATTGTTAATTTCACTTTAAAAATAAAGAAAACTGATTCAGGAAGATTAAATGAGATGTTCAATGTCATCATGCCACTAAGGTCCAGAGAAACAATTTAATCTGGTCTTTTGATCTGAGAAAACTGTTCTTTATACTATGTTATCCTGGTTTTCAACATTAAGATTACATTCACGCCGTATTTTTCTGTATCAGTATCATTTTTTGAACAAACATTAGTTGGGTATCTGCCATATGCTTAGAACTGCTGGCCTTGGAAATACAAAAGTGAACAAAACTTCTCGTGGTCCTCAAGGAGTTAACAATTCAACAGAAGAGAAAAAGCAGTCTAGTGAAGCATTTCAGAGTAGGCATTAGGATAACTGTTCCAATCAGATTTTTAAAAATGAAATAGCTTTGAATCGTTGGGCAAGTCAGTTACAGGACATGGCCTAGATAATTCATAGTCTACTGCTCTATCATTTTCTCAACTGTAAAACATAGATATTTATATTGCTGTAACACTGTTTAGATTTAGACAATTATTAAATTATGCTACTAACATTTTATTTTTATTTTTATTTTTGAGATAGAGTCTTATTATGTCACCCAGTCAGGAGTGCAGTGATGTGATCTTGGCTCACTGCAACCTCCACCTCCAGGGTACAAGCTATTCTCCTGCCTCAGCCTCCCAAGTAATTGGGATTGCAGGCATGAGCCACTATGCCCGCCTGATTTTTGTATTTTTAGTAGAGACTGGGTTTCACTATGTTAGCCAGACTGATCTCAAACTCGTGACCTCTCCGACCCTCTAGGCCTCCCAATGTGCTGGGCTTACTGGCATGAGCCATCAGGCCTGGCCCCAGTATTTTATAAACTATAAGGAATTACACAAATATATAATAACTTAATGTTATCTTTATAAATTTATTACTCTATGGCTGTGGTATGATCCCTAGAATAATGAGGTAAACCATGATTAGTGTAAATTAAATTGTATTGAAATACACTTTAGCAGTTATACCTGACTCCAATGGAGCATATTTTGAACAGATGTTCCTGCTGGGTTGTGTGAAAAGTATACATCCAAACGACTCTGAGGGGTTAAAAACAAAAGCTTTTTTATATTAGCTGAATCATAGAAAGCATAATCTCTTAATATTTATTGGACTAAATTATTTTAAGAAAATTAATTTTAAATTAATCATATTAATAAATCATCAAATTATATTTTAATTATTGCACAATTTTTACATTAATATAGAAGCTATTATTGAATTTCTTTCTTTTTTTTTTTTTTTAGGCAGAGCCTCACTCTGTCGCCCAGGCTGGAGCGCAACAGGTGTGATTTTTGCTCACTGCAACCTCCGCCTTCCGGGTTCAAACAATTCTCCTGCTTCAGCCTCCTGGGTAGCTGGAATTACAGGCATGCATCACCATGCCCGGCAAATTTTTTGTAATTTCAGTAGAAATGGGGTTTCACCATGTTGGTCAGGCTGGCCTCAAACTCCCAACCTCATGATCCACCCACCTCAGCCTCCCAAAGTTCTGGGATTACAGGCATGAGCCACCATGCCCAGCCACTATTATTGAATTTCTAAGTTATTTGGTCTGTCACCCTACTAAAAACAATCAAATGTGACTGAAAAACAATTATACACACCCATACACAAACACCTTTTGAAAACATTAAAGAATTAACAAGATAGAAATAAATTACCAAAATAAATTGAGGAGATGAATAAGGAACACCAGATAGGACAAATAAAAAGCACATAGCAAGATGACAGCCATAAATCTAATCTTAATAATTACATAAAAATAGATTTACTAAATGTAATCCAATTAAAAGGCAAAGACTATGAAAATGAATTTTAAAATATTGTTAATATTATAGCTGAAGACATAAAATAAAAGCTTTATAATATCTTCCAGGAACAATAAGAACAAAAACAATCATAAAAATTGACCCATCTGATTGAAGATGCATATATATATATATATATCTCCACATATATATCTATGTATCCATTTATACACACACACACACACACACACACACACGCAAAATGGAATATTAATAAGCCATAGAAGAGAAAAAAAATTCTGCTATTTGTGACAGCATAGAGGAATCTGGGGGCATTACTGAGTTAAATAAGCCAAATAGTGAAAGATGAATACTGTATGATATTACTCATATGTAGTATCTTAAATTAAGAAAAAAAATAAACAAAAAATAAAAATGGGAGCGGTCATAGAAACAGAGTAAAATGGTGGTTGCCAGGGTCTGGCAGGTAGGAAAAATGGGGACATGGTGGTGAAAGGCTACAAACTTTCAGTTATACGGTAAATACATTTTGAGGATCTAATGCACAGCATGGTGATTAGCTAAAAATACTGTACTGTATACCTGAAATTTTCCATTAAAAATAAAAGAAAAAAAATTTTCTAAAAGAATAGATCTTAAGCATTCTCACCAAAAATGTGACTAGAGGTGATAGACGTATTAATAACTCGATGTGGCAGTTATTTCATAATGTATTTATTTGTCAATTGTACCTCAATAAAGAGAAAATTTCTTTTGTTTTCATTGCCATCCAGGCTGCTTGAAACTGTCAAAAATAAAGTTCTGACAGGACCATTTTAAACAGCCTGTACAGAAATTTTTAATAGAAACATTCCATAATTAAAACTCAGGTATTTATTATATCCTCTGATTATAATTTTTCTCTGTGTTTGAAATAAGCTCCAATATAACGCTTAGTTTTCTGGTACACTCCAGATATTCCTTCCATCCTGGGTCACTGCTGTTTACCTTAATGTAGGTCAGAAGCTTATACAACACAAAGCACACTGTTCTGTTCATCTTTCTGGATGAAGAAGTACACAGTAGCTTTCATAAACACCCATAAGGCCTATCTATGAGCAATCTGAAATGTTTACCAGAGTCTCTACTTCATCTTTATCAGAAAGATAAGAAGGAATCCATTCCCTGAAAGGGAGCTAAATCGTAGCCACACACCCTTGACAGCTGCATTCAGATATCTCAGGCTTATTTCCCTTTTTAAGAGTTAGAATTTCTTTTTGTAAATCATAAAAAAAAGTAACACCTGGACAAAGTCAACATTTTGGTTGTTTGATGATACGTTTTCCAAGTTATATTGTGAGCATTTTCATCATCTGTTCTTCTTTGTATCATGACTTGCTTTCATTTCTCTGTGGCTGGTTTTTCATACCCAGAAAACAGATTCCACTCACAGCCTTTTTATAAAAACTACCAGATTCTTTTTTTGGTTTTACATACTGGTTTTAGGAAAATAATTTTAAGCCAGACCCTACTTCCTCCACAGACCTTGCTAGGCTCAAGAGACTGATTCAAGCTTAATGACAGTTTCACAATTACTATTTCCAAACACACTATGCGTGAAAATTTTCTACTTCCAACTTCCTACAATTCCAGCTAAATTAAGACACAGTCATATTACAATCTACAACATTGTCAACTTCTGCTGCAGAAGAACTGCCACAGATTTGAAGGCTAGAAAACCAGAGTATAAGCTTTTCTAATAATTTACACACAAAAAAGAGTTCTCTGAGACATCACATTGTAATTACGAAAAATATAGAATTGACTAAATATACTACCCAAGTCATAGAATTAATGGATAAATCAAGTAAAAACAAACACTGTATTTATGATTCTTCCAGTTCTCTCATAGTAGTGCTTAATACCACATGAACAGAAGAATATGAAAAAGAGGGAATATGAAAGTAATCCTATTTGCTTTCTATGGCAGGAGGTACATTGCTCATATCTTTATGAGTGGAAAAGAAGACAACTGAGTTTATTTCTTACAGCATTCTGAAAATAAGGTAAGATCGAACAAATTCAACAAAGTCAACAAACATGTCCTTGTGGTATGAAAATGTGTTTGGGAATTAAGAGAACACTCTCTTTCTTTGAAAGTATATATTGGCGCTCTTTGAGACGTTCTTAAGGAGCCCAGGAACAAGAACTAACCGTTAGTCCAATTGCCACATTTACTTCTTCCAAATCTAGATGTTTAATTTAATGTGAGGAAAAACACTTCAAATAAATGCCTATATCCTTAAAAGAACCTATACACAATCAATCCAAAGGTTTTGGTAATAGCAGCTTGAGTACCACAATAGTTTCCCACTCCAAGAGTATTGCTAAAAGCTAGAAACTGAAAGATAATTGGCAGGCACTAATTCTAATTATGAAAGGATGAACAAGGATGGGAAAGAGTATTAGGAACCAGGAGGAGGAGTTGTGGGAAACAAATAAATAGAAGAGGACCTAAATCTTAGAAGTCTCAGGAAACTAATGCCCAACAGCAAAGGTCAATAAAGATACCCATCACACCAGCTGCTTTTGAATATTTACAGACAGCAAGACGAATACGGAGGTAAAACAATCCCAGCATGTTAATGCAAATTAATTGTACAATGTCGGTGTAGTCATAAAATCAGATAGACTAAGAATCTGACTACTAGTGTATGTGGATGAAACACAAAATGACACAAGGTATAACACAAGCACTATTATTATTATACTTTTCAAATGTTGGAAAGTATATATATTTCAAATATAAGTTGTTCTTACCATATTTAAGTTTTTTTGGTCATATCCAAACATCATAAACAGGATATTGAGGCAAATCTTATCAAAAATCTGTAGTGGACACAGCTTTGAACCAACAAAATGTTTAAATGAGGTTTTAGATAAGAAGTCTTGGTTGCCAGAAAACACCTGTAAAATACATTTATTTTATCCACATTTGGACGATCACAAAAAGTAATAAAGAAATGATGTAGTAATTCACTATGCATACAACCAAATAAATTATCTCACAGTAGTTTGAAAATTTTAAATAAAGGAATAAACTTGGAAGCAGGATGTAGAGATGGTTTGGCCACTGGATTTCCTCTCACACTGAGGTTCTAAAAGTATAATAAGTAAAATTGCATCCCTCTGTAAAAATAAAGGCAAAACTCTAGTGTAAATGAAACCAAACATTTCAATTCATACATGTGGTTGTTTATTATAGTCAAGATCTCTTATTTTGAAAGCACAGAATTACCATTTTGGGTTATCAATGATGTAAAAGAAAGGTGTAACATACCTTCACTATTGACTTCCATTTGTAAGTCATTCTAATTAAAGGACTTTTTAAGTACTTTGTGGAAAAAACTGGTGCTAAGGCAAAAAATATTTTGATTCTTTCAGCTATCTTTGGTATAGTAGAAAATGTTATGAAACCTAAAAGAAAAGAAGATACAAATTATTAAGCTATTCTTATGCAATTACTACCATGTAAGAGATGACACCATGGAGAATAAGTTAAAAAATAGTTTCTGAACAATTAACTTATTTATTTCTTAATTCACTTATCAAACACTTTTTAATCACCCAGTGTATAATATATTGATCATAACATAATACTGATAATTAGGGTTTCTACAATGTATCGACCATAAAGAATGATAATTTAGCAATAAATCAGACATATAACACCATAGTTTAAAGATTAGGAGCAATATTGAACATTTTTTATTATGGACAATGGTAAAAATGAAATATATGAAATTTTCAGACAGATGAATCTTACACTTTAAGTGATGTACTCAACAAATGTCACATTGTTTTAATATTTAGCTTCAATATATTTTAAAACTCCTTACCTTTTTATACAGAGGATACTAAGCATCTTATTTTATCAATAGTTTAGAGGCATTAATGTGAAAATAGTAATTTTCCCTTTGCCATCTTATCAAGCTATCTACTTACACACATATAACCACTTCTGAGTGGTTATTTATTTATTTAGGTTAGGTTCTGAGGAGCCAAACAACCAAACAATTAAGCTATGGTACTTGGTCCTCATTTTTTTCTTATTTCTATGTTTTCAGCAATTCCTGGTTTTAGATCTTTGAATAGTTGATGATAATTTGGACTAAAAGACACATATATGACATATTACATGTCAGAGAAAAAACCTATAGAAAATGGGATTAGATTGTTACTCAACATGCTTTTTCTAGTAGAAAGTGGCTTATTTTTATAAGAAAATTTTAGTCATCAGCTTAGAAATGACTTATTTAATATTAGCTTCTATTACAAGATGGCTTTTTCTCCCTGTAAAGTGGAATAACACAAGTAAAGAGGTTTATAGTATGCAAGAGAATTATGTTAAGTCATAGGCAATTTATTTCTGAAAGTAAAGTTGTTAAGTATTAGACAGGCATTAGAGTTCTGACTAAAGTTCTTTTATTGTCATCTTTAAATAAAGAAGAATTTCCTAATTTTTGTACATTTCTTAAGTTTGATCAGACTTCAATGCAAAAACATACATAGATTTTTTGTCTTTTCTGATAAACTACTATGCTACATTTTTAAAAGGGAAAATAATGTGAACATTCTATTTGTAGAACAAATAATAGTGGCAATCTCACTTTGATCTTAAGTAACATAGATATCCAACTTTTATACAATTTGAAACAAGCAAAACTACAACTAACCTTGTCTTTACAATCAATTCTTTGCTATTAGCGAAGACTCCATGTGGGATCAAAGCAGCATGTAAGATTCTGCTTTGATCCCACAAAGGGTATTCTGCTATACTATGTTGGTCTTACAGTTTTTGTTTTACTTACAGGTCTAGAAGCTTATCTACAATTTTAAGAAGTATATACATAACCTTAAAAAAGAAATTAAGGGAAATTAGCAATAATATTTCTTGGTATACCAATAGTAGTGCCCTGTGAATGGCCTACATAAAATATTTCCTCTTGTCTGGTTTTCTTCACAATGAAATCAATGGAAGCTGGAAGGTCGTATTTTGCCATCTCATCAAAACTACAAAAGAAAGAGGGAAATAAAAATAGCACTTTCTATTAATGTTATATTGATATTTGAAAATAATGAATAGGTAAATGAATAAAAGAAATTTTCTACTCTTTTGTTATTAATCAGAAAATTATATTGTATAATGTAACTTCTGAATAGAAACTCAAAGTCAAGGAAATAAAATCACAAAGCAGTCTTATAAAGAGGGTGTTTGTATATGAAAAATAGGGTAGACAAAATATATGAGTTATAGAGTAGAAGAGTACTTAAAGGAAGGATGGGGTTGGTGAATAAGGTACTAAGTAAGAAATAAAGATTATTGCTGAAACATAAAAAAAGAACTCAAAATCACACAAGTACTCTTTAATTTTCAAGCCAAAATTCACATAAATTTTAATGGTCTACGGAAACCTAAGTTGTGGAAAGACTGAGACCTATATTTTATTTTATTTCATTCAAAATGAAAACTGTGTATATATTTATAAATGAAATGCTTTAGTTTATTCATACCTGAAAGCCCAGAATTCTTTGGAATTTGTTTCTAGGTACAAGTGTTTCCTGGACCAGGTATTTCCTCTGCTATTTCCCATCCACACATCATAACCAGCATCTGCCAGAATGAAGCCCAGACTATTGTTGGGAAGATTGGAAATCCAGCTGCTGGCAGATGTAAGCAAACCATGTTGCAAGTATACAACCCTCTGAACTGAAAAAAAATGCAGAAAATTCTTTATAAATTTTGTAGTTACCTATATGAAAATCTCTTTTCTAAAATTCAAACTTTTAATATATGACAGTTAAAGATTTTTAAAAATTGTTTTCATGAGGTAAAGTTACTAATATTTATTTCCATTGTATGCCAGAGCTGTTTAATACAGTTTACTAATGGATGTCTTTCAAATAACCAAGTGGCAATTAGGTCAAATCCCACTTAAACCTACACATTTTACTGAAAGAGAATATTAAAAAATTTTATAGTAATTTGAGCACTCATACACATTTTAAGTAACACATTTTAAATAAGGGATCAATTACATAGCACAGTTGACATATTAATTGACACATGGCTATGGTATCCACTGGTCCTACCATATAACGCCCATCAAGAGGCTGCCAACCTGATAGAAAAAATGAAACAATCCCTTGAATGCTCAATGGAAGACGACAGCTGGGAGATGACATCCTGTAAGTATGGGCACTATCCTTCAGGATTTATTGTACATCTTTTTAAAATGGTGATAATCTATTGGTCATTCCCCATTAAGTAGAATACAGGAGTCTGAGGAACAAGAGCTTGCCATCACTCCAGTAACTCACTCAGGGTTGTGTTCTTGCAATTTCAGCCTCTACATATCTAGAGGCCCTCGTCTTCAAAGAGAAAATGCTCCCACCAAGGCACTATAATCACCCTAACAAACTGAAAGCTACGACCACTGCTTAGTCACTGTGCACTCTTCATTACTGAAGACTAGGAAGTTCATTGACCATAATCATAAGAAAGTAAGTCTGCTGATACAAAATGAGGAAAGAGAGAAATACATTTGTTCCTCAGGTGATCCACTGAGTCATCTTCTCCTACTTCTATGACCTGTTTTAACTGTACATGAACAAATACAATGATCACCTTATATGAATATGTAAGCCCTTAGGGATGAGGGCCTGGCTTACCCTATCAGGCAGACTAGCTGAGAGGCAGAGAAAGCTAGAATGGATGGTGGAGGAGGAAATTTATGCGTACTAGTTATGGCCTTAGGTCTTGCTTTTTAAGGGTTTACTATTGCTCCTTTCTCTGTAGAATTGCCCATGGCCAAATTGGAACTGCTTCACCTAAGAGATCATACCTCCTTCTAGGGGTAGCCTTCAGACAATGATTAATTGACATAGGAAGGCAAAAAGTTGGCTCTCTAATCACACCTCTGTAGTGCAATTTTTATGGGAACCTTGAACCCTTCTGAGATCATTTTGCAGCTAACCCCAAGCTGAGTCATATTATCCCTTAACTCTTCACCCTACTTTATCCTAATTTCCACCTTACTGCTTCCTGACAGTATTTCATCAATTAGTCACATGTACCTGAACCCCTGTCTCAGGCTCTGCCTTTAGAACACTCTAAGGTACTTGCTGTATTTTAAATTGTCTTTAAATCTTTAATAGAGTACTTGCAAAATGAGGTCATATCTTGGGGGATAATTACTATTATTATATAAAATATATGTTAATATTTTCTGCTACTGGGTATGACCTTTATAAATATGCAAAATTATGTTAATTGAGGTTGTTTCAAATTAATATCCTCTCTGAAGTATACTTTAATGATCAAAATAACTTGAAAGAATGCCCTATAATATAATCAACATTCTATTTTTTCACATCCTGTTTCCTTCTGAAAGAAACATTCTTTCAGGAGAAAAGCTAAGGAGAAAAGAAAATACTTGGCTTTTATTTGGGTAATTTATATGAATAAGCAAAAGTAATCTGTTACATATTCTGCTAATAAGTGGCAGATCTAGGATTACAACCCAGATCTCCTAACAAATTCCAGTGCATTTTGTACCACACTCTGATGATTCAAACATACTTACTGTTGGAATAAAGAGCCATGAGGCTACCACCAACCTCATCACTCTAGTACTAGAGGACAGAATCACAAAGAAGGAAATTTGTAAACGCCTTTCTTCAAACCTGGAGCATAATAATGTTATTGTGCTCCAGAGCATTTCTAATCTCTCATCAGTAGAATAAAATTCTAGAGGATTAACATGTAAGAGCAAAATGATCCACAAAGGAAGCCTGGGAAGAATGGCTTGTGTTCCATCACGACCTCTCTGTGACCAGAAAGCCAGTGTCTATTCTTGCATGTTTCTTCTTGTGGCATGCAGGAAAAGTTAACTATTCACTTAATCTTAAGATGCTTTTCTTGTCCTACATTCTCCAGGGACTGGAACAATTAAGAACTTATGACCCCAGATAGTCAACAATTCATCTTAAATTGAATATTACCTAGATTTTTATTATTGTTTGTCTTCCCATAAGGAATTCTATAAAGGCCAAGGATATAACCATCTTCAGTTACAATATCATATTCTTCATCAGGGTAGCCCCAATAGGAAATAATTTGGCTCTAGATTAAGAAAAAACAAATCTTTTAGCATAAAATTGTTATCCAATTAAGTTGAATGGTTTACTGTTTCTAACCTATTATGTATAATGAACATTGGTATTCTCTCTCAACCTCAGGCCTATCTATTTTTATTTTTGCTAATTTAGTGATTCATTCGGATAACAAGTATGTATACAACACCTGCTGAACAGCAGTTTTATAAACTAGGGATTGAAAAAATAAATAAATAAAAAATTTTTAAAAACCCGCCTTCAAAAAGATATCTCAAGAATATTTTCTTTTTTAACTACTAGTCTCTCATACTTCTACCTACCCACCCATATACAATTTAAAAATATACGTGCATCCATAAATGTTTGCATGTCTATGTGTATATCTAATCTTATATCTGAAATTTGTATGTAGGTAAATATGTAGAAGAGAAGGAGGTATATATATACATATATATATGAAGGTATGAATATATTTCAAATTTGTGAAGGTATGAATATATTTACACATTTTTCATTACAAAGATAGAATAAGGCTGAAGGAGAAACTGAGTTATAGCATAGCAGATGAAAAACATTAACCCATATAAAAATACTTGAATATAGACATATACATTTGACTGTAAATCTATTAACTTAAAATTCAAAATTTGAAGAGTAGCATTCTCTGTTATTTCAGCAGTCCAGATTTATTTTCTAACAACTTACAATATTCATATCTGCTTCAGGGTTCACAGATCGTTGATTCTGAATAACACCATGAGTAACTCCAAGAATTCGGATAAAATACATTATTGTGAAAAGATACCACATTTGGGACCTATGTATAAAAGGGAGATGTTTATACAATTAAAATTGCAGCAAATAATACCCTTTATAAAATTGCAGCAAATAATTCTGTGAGGTAGGAAATATTATTATTTTTGGATGAGAAAACTGAGGCTTTGAAGAATTAAATAACTTGGTTAAAAACATAAAATGTATAACTGGCAGTCAGAATTCAGATTCAGGACTGCTTAATTTCAAAGTCCATGCTTTTCTGGCTACTCTATTTTGTAGATAAATTCCCTCTTAGAAGAATCCATTATAGTATTGCTCAGCCCAATTCTGAGAACTTTATCATGTATTACAAATTAATTGATGTCTGAATTAGTGATGTAATAGTATTATTACTAACCTAACACTCATTTAATGTATGCTTAATTTTTTTGTGGGAGGAGGGGATGAAGGGGAAGATTTGGAAACTTGGATAACTTTCATTCAGCAACTCAGGGTTGGCATTTTATTTTGTTTAGATAGGTGATTTTTGAGTCTCCTACATTCTGGGAAACTGGAACTCTTAAGTTTTTTCTAAAAACAATAAATCAGGGAGCCACAGAGGCTGCCATCCAAAAAGCATGACTTGCAAATCTCATGAGTCTTGTATAATAAACCAACACACTATACCGGAAAGACATGATCCAAGGATTATAAAACCCCTAGCTTCACCACTCACTAGGTAGTGACTTAAAGCAGATTATTTAACCTCTCTTGAGCATCATTTTCCCTGCCTACGAAATGCAACTAATACCTACTTCTCAGGATTGTTATAAAACTTAAATTTGACAAATGTGATATGATGTATTAGTGTAATACCTGTCACATAGCTGATATTAATATGTAACAATCCTCCTTACTCAAAAGAACAAATTACTTAAACAAGCAATTTAGGGGCGTAATTTACATGCACCTAATTGATATGTCTTTCTTACGTATTTATTAGTCCAGTCTCCAGTACACTGATAGCTTGAAAAATAATTATGTAGATTTGAAAGTTTTAAAGTGTATTCATTTTTTAAAAAACATTTTCTAACTTAAAAATTTAATTTACAGAAGCTGCACTTTTCTCCTTTGGTCCAAGTATTTATATCTGATATAATATCTGAGGTTTTCACTGAAGGCAACAGCAAAGTTTAAGACAGTATTATCAATATTTTCTACAAAAGAGAAGAACAAGAGTTGCTAATTTAAGTGCACATGGAAAAACTTTATAACATTCGGAATCACATCTAGATATGCCTCTTCAGTTGTATTCTTGGAAAACTGCTCAGCAGGCAGCAAGTCTACTCAGTCCTCTCTTCTCATGGGCTGTCTCAGATCAGCATATGGAAATAGTGGGGGAAGGAATATTTTCTCTGTCTGTACATGCAGTAACTGATATTGTAGCTTACTACACACTGCTTCCCAGCAGAGGTTTTAAAGTACTTTGTATTATATCTAGAATGAATGTATAGAGTATCATCTGAAACAATATATCTTTGAAAATGAAATTCTATTGACAATTATCTTGTGAAAACAGGCATAATCTGGACTGTTCCAGGAATCTGTACGTTATGACTGCCCAATTTATAGCCTCAAATATTTCTCAAAATTTTAATATTTTTATACAAAGAAAACACAGAAGGACCAACCTTTAATATATAGTTGTTAGTACACCTAATAACCACTAATAGGAAATGTTTAAACTGAGTACAATTAACCTTATTATTTGCAGTGACTTATCAACCACATAAAGCGACTAGCAAAAACGTTCACAAAAGTCTAGAATGTGGCCATTGAGCACTTGAAATGTGGCTAGCGAGAAACTGAATATTTCATTTTAGTTAAATTAATTGTAATATGAAAGCTGAAGCAGCGTAAAATATTTTTCTGTTAAGCACAACTTTAAATTTTTATAAGATTTACTGTATTGTTAATCCCAATTCAAGACTGTCATCAAACAAAAGCAATACTTGTTAAATATCCCATAATTGAAAACAAAAATATGGCAGAAGACATGATTTTACATTCATATCATGCTGAATGGAAAAGCTAATTTATTATCTTAATACATTGCCTTGAGACTATAAATTGGGCAATAATTTTATAGTCTCAAATATCTAGTCAACTGCTACTAGACTTTATGTTGAAATGAAAATTTTACATAATGCAATTTAATAATAATGATTTACACATTTTTCTAACGTGAATCAATATGCAGATTTTAATTATAAACAACAGCGTTTATATAAATTGGCTACAAAACTACAAGAAAAAATAGTTCATATTGATAAATTTAGAGTTGCTTTGCAACTCAAATTTGAATTTGATATTAATAATTTTAAGTTGACATGAGCGATTTAAATATACTTAACTTGGAGAGATAGAGTTTTTAAGTTAATATGTTTTTACCTCAAAGTCTAACAATTTTTCCAAAAGAGATAAATAATTTTGTCATAATACTTAAATTGAATGAAATTAACATTATTTGCAGTGACTCGTCAACCATAGAAAGCAACTAGTGAAAAAGTTTTATTGATAGTCATTTAAGAAAATGATTTATTGATAGTCAATTCAGTTACTGAAACTTTTAAATATATTTCAAACAATTTAGGTATGTGAAACTACTCTTGTAGGTGCAAATTTTATGAAATCAAAAAACACCTCAAGTGTGTCTATTAGCGCTAGGCCAGGCGTAGTGGCTCACATCTGTAATCCCAGTACTTTGGGAGGCCGAGGCTGGTGGATTACGAGGTCAGGAGTTCAAGATCAGCCCGGCCAATATGGTGAAACCCCATCTCCACTAAAAATACAAAAAAATTAGTTGGGCATGGTGGTACATGCCTGTAATCCCAGCTATTCAGGAGGCTGGACAGGAGAATTGCTTGAACCTGGGAGGCAGAGGTTGCAGTGAGCCGAGATTGTGCCACTGCATTCCAGCCTGGGCAATGGAGTGAGATTCTGTCTCAAAAAAGTTTAGCTCCAGAATTAAGATCTTTTATGCATGTAAGATACACTCTGGATTTTGAGGGTTTACAAAAAAATCTAATGTAAAATATCTCATCAATAATTTTTCTAATATGTGTTGAAAATGATAATTTGGATAAAATGGTTTGCTACAGAAGTAATCACCACTACTACATTAAAATATTATTTTGTCCTGTAAACCTTGTACCTAATGCAGCAGGTAATCATTATTACTTCAATTTAAGTTACTTGCCATAATTTTCCATCCATGCTGGCTGCGTGGTGAGATAGTATTCCATGTAACAAATCACTGGTGATTTACTTCGTTCATAGTCAAACTTTCATAAGGCAGTCAAAGATGAAAGTGAGTAAAAAGTGTAGTTTTATACCACAGTGCTAAAACTGGAGGTTGCCAGAATTTTAAATAATGATTTTTAAAAGCTATCACCCATTTAGCAAAAGTACTTAAAATATGAACATATCAAATATCTGTAATATTAACATTAAGGCATAACTACAATATAATTTCCTAAAAGACGACTTGAAGATTTATTATTATTATTATTATTATTATTTTGAGATGGAGTCTCACTCTGTCACCCAGGCTGGAGTGCAATGGTAGGGTCTCAGCTCACTGCAACCTCCACCTCCCCGGTTCAAGCAATTTTCCTGCTTCAGCCTCCCAAGTAGCTGGGACTACAGGCATGTGCCACTACACCCAACTAATATTTGTATTTTTAGTAGAGACAGGGTTTCACCATATTGACCAGGCTGGTCTCGAACTCCTGACCTCATGATCCACCAGCCTCCCAAAGTGCTAGGATTACAGGCGTGGGCCAACACACCTGTTGAGAATTATTTTTTTATGCTATTAAAATGATTAGTTTGATTCTAGATACGACACAAAACAATGAAAAGTATTATGTCATACCTCTCTGCTTTTGTTGATTTTAAGTGTCCAATGTATGTGTCTTCAAAGTAGTCAATCATCGTTGTGTTTCTTTTAGCAAAGGTTGCTAAGTAGAGTCATAGGAAAGCTAAGAAAAAGTACATTATACTAAAAAGCAAAATAAAAAGAGAACATTTACCTCAAGGCAATGTTAAATCCAGCTTCCTATATTTTTCAAGCCCCTTTCCCATACGTTACTCCAAATACATTCACATCTTCCCCAAAATGAGAAAACCACCACAGAGGTTGTCAGTGATAGTTTCCCACTAGTTAAAAAGCAATTAAAATGTCTATTAAAAAGCAATTAAAATTATTAAGATACGAAAGTTCCTTAAAAGTCTGAAGTAGATTTATTTTTGTCTGACAATTATTGTAATAACAGTAACAAGTAGTGAATATGTAGTCAAAAATGACTTAAAGGAGTTCAAATATAGAAGCAACAGTCTTAAAAGTATTGTTAGGTCTCAAAAGAAGACATTTATGTGGCAAACAAACATATGAAAAAAAGCTCAATGTCATTGATCATTATCCACCTGAATTATCATCCGGCCTATCTTGCTTTAAGTATTATCCACAAAAGTCTTGTTTATCTTCTAGCAAACAGATAGTGAACCCTCATAGTCTCTGAGAATTCTAACTTTGATTCTAGTTGCCAGGGAAACTGTACTAAATATGACAAAATTTCTACCCTCTTGGTGCTTAAATTCTAGTAGGAGAAAAACAATAAATAAACGATAAATAAGTAAACAGGTAAAGAAGCAAATTACTTCTAAAAAGGGATTGAGATGAAAATAAAACATTCATTTTTTCCATCATTTGATGAAATAAGGAGTCACTGGGTAGCTATTTTAGGTCAAGTGGTCAGAGAAGACCACTTTTAGGTGACTTTTAAGCTGATTTGAATGAAGTCATTCAAGGAGTCAGCCTTGAGAAGATCAAGAATAGAAAAAAAGTCAAGGGAAAAGGTCAAGGTGATTAGGAAGAATAAATATTCGACAAGGAGGCTATCTCATCTATCTTGCAATCCTAATTTTCTCTAGGTCATCTAGTCATTCTTACCTTTCCAGAAAGATGTACTACTGCCAAGTGGTCAACCATGGACCCATTACTCTATTAAACTGTGAAATCAGATGCAACCCATTTTGGAGGCTGGGCATAAGAAGAAATTGTAAGCCACTATGTCTACTTCCATTTGATGGCCATAGCAATTCAAAATTCTGGATAACTGTTTTGAAAGAGTGCATGATCATAGGGAGAAAGAAAAAAGACAGTGAAGGATTAATGCAAATTCACAACTGCGGGAGATGCAAGTCAGAAAAGGATGCTCTATACACAGAGAACAGCATAAGTAAAGGTTTTCTTCTGCCATAGATAAGTGTGTTCAAGGAAAAGAAAGCAATTCAGTTTAGCCACAGCATAGAAGAAATGAAGATACAAATGTAAGAGATAACCGTAGAATGAGAATATATTATTGAATATTTTTTGTGCCAAGTTAATGCAGTGGAACTTAATTCTGTATGAAACTGAGAGCTACAGAAAGTGTCTGAGGAAGGTGGTGACTCATCTAGAAGCTGGGTGCAGAACTGCAAAGTAGGAAGACTAGTTAGAAAGCTACTATAATAATTCAGGTAAGAACTGATGGCTTGAACTGATGCAATGGTAATGGCTTATCAGAATTTATTAAGAGTAGTGTCACTAAAGTTGGTATACAACCCTCAAGTGCTAAATTTGACTGGCTTAAAAAAACACATGATGGCTTGAACTCAAGTAGTGAATTAATTTTTTGGCAATTACTCTTTAAATGTTAAAAGTTCACAGTTGGCAGAGTGCAGTGAAGAAAACGTTCTGAATTTACAATATTCTATCTGTTCACTATCTGCTTTCTTTTTTTTTTTTTTTTTTTTTTTTTTTTTTTTTTTTTTGAGAGACGGAGTTTCGCTCTTGTTACCCAGGCTGGAGTGCAATGGCGCGATCTCGGCTCACCGCAACCTCCACATCCTGGGTTCAAGCAATTCTCCTGCCTCAGCCTCCCGAGCTGGGATTACAGGCAGGCGCCACCACGCCCAACTAATTTTTATATTTTTAGTAGAGACGGGTTTTCACCATGTTGACCAGGATGGTCTCGATCTCTTTACCATTGCTGGTGGAAATGGAATTTAAGCAACTTTTCCGTTGTGCAATCTAATGTGGTTGGATTCAAGAGACAATGGAGAAAGGATCAAAAAGACTGAGGACTGATAGGTATCAAGGATGAGAAAAAAGGAGCTATAGAAGATAATTATGAAGTTTCAAGTCTCATTCTGATCAAATTATTCACAGAAATGAGAAAGCAGAAAAGGATGGAAAAGAGCAGGAGAGCAGATTTAGAAGATCATGAAGGTCTGCCCTTGCTTCACCACTGAGCTAATAGGTAAGCTTGGGTAAACTCACTTGAACTTAAGTGTCTGTATTAACATGTATAAAATGGTTGCAGAGGGCAGTTGAAATAGATTAATTCAAATGTCCTTTCCAGACAATTTTGAGATTTTAAGGCTTTCTATAGCTGTGAATCACATTAAGCTTTTAATTTCACAGAAATCTGAACTTTTAATTTCAGAAAAATCATAAACTTTAATATATACTTGTACACTATTTTCCCAAGATAAATGTCTGCTTTAAAGGGCATACTTTAAGGCTTTTGACAGAGTATCAAGCTGTATTATGAATAATTTCTCTAGTACACTTCCATCAGTAATGTACTATTGTATATTTTGCTGTATCCCTACAAATGAAGACATTTCACATTTACAAAAGTCATTCCTAGCCTGGGCAACATGGCAAAACCTTGTCTGTACAAAAAATACACACACACACACACAAATTAGCCAGGTGTGGTGGTGGTCACCTGTAGTCCCAGCTACTCCTGGTGGCTGAGGAAGGAGAATGGCTTGAGCCTAAGAAGTCAAGGCTGCAGTGAGCCCTGATCGTGCCACTGCACTCTTGCCTAGGGGACAGAGCAAGACCCTGTCTCAGGTTAAAAAAAAAAAAAAAAAAAAAAAAAAAAAGCCCAACAAATGAAAAATAGTACCTCTTTTTAATTTGTATTTGAATATAAAAAATTAAACACATGCTTATTGGACTTACATATTTCTTTTGATTCAAGAACTCTATCCAATATATACACATTTTCCTTTTGGCTTTTGCCACTTGTGTCTTTAAGACTTTGTATAATGTCTTTAAATAATATAAACTTTAATCTTTCATATACCTTTCCGAAATTTACTATTTGTATTTTGTCTTGCATATTTGGTACCATACAAGTTGTAAATGATTATGTATTCAATGTTTTTCTGTTCAATTCCATCTTTGATTTTTATGCTTAAAAATATTTTTTAGTCATATATGCCCAGCTACATTTTCTTCCAGTTCTTTTATTAGATACATCTATTATTAATTCATCGCCCAATGGTACTTCTTTTCATGATGTAGACATGACGTAAATATTCTGATTTTTAAATGTTTCCATTATAATTGGCTACCACTGGCAATTTTCTTATTGGTGCTGATACTTAATTGGTTTCTTAGTTTTCCAGGTAATAATTTATCTGCAAGTCAGTGAACTTAATTATTTAATAGTTCAGTATTCTCACTGTCTTGTGCTGTTTCATTGAAAACTTCCAGTACAATGTTAGGAGGAAATAAAAACAATGGCAATGGCACCAATCCTTCTCTTGCTCATCTTTATATTCCTTAGAACATACGGAATGCTTTCTGACATGGAACTTAGCATTTATTGAAGAGTAATTTGTCATTTTCTGATGAATCAAGTATCTTTAATCTTTACAAGTTTGAAATGTATACGTTATTGTTCCCATTTTCTAAATGGAGAAATCGAGGTTCAGGAAAGTAACACAAAATCCCAGGTCTCAGAAGAATGTCTCCCAGATTCCAGAGTATGTTTCCATTATGCTCATAGCAGCTGTTCAAGCATTAGAGGAAAGTTCTCCCGTGGTATCGCTGGTGTTTCTTCTTTCCACTTTCAAAACCAGAATATTAAATTAGTAAAAGTCCCAACAGGCAAGAAAGCGACCGCCGTATCCGGGTTAAGCTGGTTCTCCGCTGCAGTCAATGTCAGCTCTGTGGCGAGGCGCATTCTCCCAACCACAGCACGCACGATTTCCAGGCTTTCCTGGCGAGGGGCAGGCCGGAGTGTGGAACCCATCTGGCTGCGCCCGGCCCCCAAAGAGAGCAGCCAGCCAGCCCAGGTTCTCTGAGGACTCGGGTTGGCTCCTCAAGGACCGACCGGCCTCTCCATTCCAGCCGCCTCCTCTCCGCCCCCTGCAGGCCGGCTGGAGCGACCGCCCCGGGCCGGGTGCGCGAAGGGAGCACGGAACCAAAGAGCCGTAGCGCCGGTTCCGCCGACTTTCTACAAATCCCGGGCCGCCCGGCCCCTCCGCGGAGACTCGGCGCGGATCGTGGATCCTCTTCCGTCATGGCGCGGGTGCTGGTCGTGGGCGCCGGGCTGACGGGAAGCTTGTGCGCTGCGCTGCTGAGGAGGCAGACGACCGGTCCCTTGTACCTCGCTGTGTGGGACAAAGCTGAGGACTCAGGTGTGTTGTCTAAATGCCAAAACCTGGGAAAAGAGGCTGGCCGGGCGGCTGCTGAGGCGGTGTGGGCCTGCACCTGAGGAAGTCTGAGGCGAAAACGCTAGAGCCTCACCCTGAGAGCGCCCACGCGCTGAACTGCGGGCCTCGTCACGTGATCGGCAACTTCCGCCGCCTGGGAAAAGGCCCAGGAGGGGGTTGGAGCGGGGCAGGAGTACTCCGCGCTTTTCTGAGGGAGACTTGAGACTGCGGCGTCGGAGAGGGCCTGACCCAGGTTGGCAAAGCTTAGGTCTACTGCTGTCCCTAAAAGGTTTTTGCCTTGGTCTGTCTGTTGCCTTTGCAGCTTTCTGCAGATTATGAGGCTCCCAAAGTGATCACAGACCAAGACTTTCTGAAGATGTAGTTTGCAGAATCCTGTCATTCTGATGAAGATTGACTGCATAAATGAAAGAGCATTAGTTGACTCATTTATTCTGACAGTCTTTTTTAGTTTTGTCCCTTCACTCCTGTTACTAAATATGTGCACTTTTATGGTGCTGGACACTGCCACATTGCTCCTGACTCCTTTTCTTCTAAAATCTCACAATCTGATCAAATACTTCAGCTTGAAAAAAATTAAGATATTTTTGAAATAATCCCTTTGGGGTAACCTAGGGTGGGTTGAATTAATTGCTAAGGCTCATTCTAATGCAATAAGACATTTTCCTGTGGATTAATTCAAGGGGGAAGAATGATTACAGCCAGCAGTCCTCATAATCCTCGGTGCACAGCTGACTTGGGTGCTCAGTACATCACCTGCACTCCTCATTATGCCAAAACCCACCAAAGGTGAGTTAGTTGCAAGAGGTGAAATCAATCTTAGCAGTTGCATGGTGCAAAAAGATGCGAATCATCCATTTTTAACATGATTAAACTTGCCTCTTGAAACATGTCATTGTTGATGGTGTTAGCAGTAAAAAGTTAAGTAAAATGGGAAACTCTTAACACCTACCTCATAGGATTGTTGTTAAGATTAGATGAGCTGATAAATGGAACATAATAAGCGCTCAATAATCAACTCCTGTGTTGGTGTTATGGAAGAAGGCAACTAGCTGTGATGGGAGTCAATCTGCTTAACCAAATTTAAAATTGATGCACTAAATGTATTTGTTTTTATTACTTTTAAAATATACTTACAGAGGAATAGGCCTTTGGCAAAAGGTCTACAGATTCTCAAAACATTTCTCTTCTTCACCTGTATTATGTTTTATTTAACACAAAATATACATTTTATTTAATACAAAATATTCATAGGAATATTTCTAATCATGAATGAATTACAACCTCTGAGAATTATTGGAAGAGAATACAGTCTTTTAGAGCTAATCATGGTATATAATTACATTAAATATACATATTGATTTATTTCAGTTTTTATGATGAACTGTTAGCCCATGGCATATTGAGGCCTCTAACCTCGCCTATTGAAGGAATGGTTATGAAAGAAGGAGACTGTAACTTTGTGGCATCTCAAGGAATTTCTTCAATTATTAAGCATTACTTGAAAGAATCAGGTGGGAGTAATATTTTCTCTGCCTAAAATTTAAAATAGCATTTAAAAACAAGTTATACACATTGTTACATATTAATACTGTATAGAGTTTTAAAAAGTAGATGTTCTATTCACTGACCAATAGCTAGTCCTTCCCCAAAGTAATCTTTGATAAATTTCCAGTGTATATTTCCACAACAATGTTTATGCATCTCCCTATTGAGCTATGTGGCTGTCTCTATTTATAATATAAATATTATAAATATATATACACACATATTTCTTTATATTCTTATAAAATATACTCAAAGGGGATAATTTTATATAAATGATTCTGTACCTTGTTTGGCTCATATCTTGGATCTATTTTCACATCAGCTAAGTTACTGTAATCCATTTTCTTTAATGATTGTCTCATATTTATGACATATGTGTACCATCATTTACTTAACTATTAGCTTTCTGGTAAATAGGCTGAATGGGGTTGGGAGATTATTTTGGTTTCTGCTAATACAAATATTGCTGTGTGTCTATTGTTGACATGCTTTTTTGTAAACATCTTTAGGATCAGTTCCTCACAGAAGAATAGCTATGTCAAACGGTATGTGCATTTTTAATTTCACTAGGTTGTGCCATGTATGCTTCTTAAAGAATATCTCACCAATAGTGATGAGAATGTTTCTTTCTCCACATCTGGATATAATGGAAATTTTTAATTTTTGCCATTGTAATAGTTTAAAAATGGGATCTCTTTGTGGTTTTGATTTGCATTTCTATAATTATAAATGAGTTTATGCATTTTTTGTTTTATTAGCCAGCTCTTTCCAGTTTTCTTCTGTGAATGTCTTATTTATAACCTTTGCCCATTTGCCATTAGGATTTTCATTTGTTCCTTATATATCTGAGTGTTTTGAAAGTAGACCTTCTAAAAAAGAAAATAGAATTTTTCTGGGAGGATAGATAATTATTTTTAAAATAGAATGAAGCTTCTTCTCAGTCAAGATAACTGAGAAAGGATATAGGCTAAGAATTTTTTGTTAAATAAGCCATTCCCAGCATAATTACTGTTTTGGTTTTTATCATCAAATATTACTCATTGAGAACCCCAAGAATCCTGGGTACCGGTCATCAGAGAGGTCAGTGGGACTGGATAACCAGCATGAGAACATAATAAATACCATTCTGGCTTAGACCATTTTTCTATTCAAGTATATAATGGTGTATTAAACTACTCCAGAGAAACAGAACCAATAGGATATGTGTATGTGTGTATATATATCTGTGTGCATGCATGTATAGAATATATGTGTGTATGGATAAAGAGAGAGATTTATTATAAGGAATTGGCTCACATAATTATGGAGGCTAGTAAGTCCCAAGATCTGCAGAGCAATTCAGCAAGGTAGACACCCAGGAAAGCTGGTGGTGTAGTTCTAGTCTGAAGGCTGGTGGGCTCAAGACTCGGGAAGAGACATTGTTTCAGTTCTACTCTGAAGGCTGGAAAAAAGCTGATGAGCCGGTTCAAAGGCTTTCAGGCAGGAATAATTCTCCTCATGTGAACGAGGATCAATGGGTTTATTCTATTTACACTTTCAACTGATTGGAGGTTGCCCACCAACATTAGGCAGTGCAGTCTGCTTTACCCAATCTAATGATAAATGTTAATTTCATCTAAAAACATGCTCATAGAAATACCCAGAATAATGTTTTACCAAATATGTGGGTACCCTATGGCCAAGTCAAGTTGACTCATAAAATTGACTATTAACAGATGGTGACACTATTGACATTTTGTAGAATTTTACCATCAGCTTCATGTAGTGTCGCCGTATCACTTTAAAAAAAATCTCATTTTCACTGTGATTTACCCTTGAGCCAGGTTGGAAGAGTATACTTATTGAACTCATAAAGTCCTTACTAACTGATGTGTATGCATGCATATGCAGGAGCCTAGAAAATGATATACCAAAATGAAGCCCTTAGAAGCAGCTCTCTCTGACTTTTTTCTGCTTTCCTGTCTCTGGCTTTGCATTCATCACCAAGGCTAGCCCTAGAAAGTAGAATCTCTTTTCTCAAGGCAGGTCATAGAAATAAGAAGCCCTTTCTCCCCAAACCAGCCATAAAACCTAAAACTATCACTCTAACTTTCCCCTGCCTTCCTTTGTAAAAACAGACCATAAAGAAATTATCTGACCTACCATGTTTGACTGTAGTTTCTAACAGTTCCAGAGAGGGTCATGACTTGTAACTATGAAGAAAGAATGCTGCACAAAGAGGTCAAAAAGAATCTAGACAGACAGGCCTTGATGGGTTTCACCAGTCTGTTAGCAATAGATGTGACCCTTCGGTCAATCATATTGCTGCAGAGCTGTCCATACTTTGTTGAACCTAAGCATAAAAATTGACTCCTGTATCTTCGAGTCTTCAGTCTGAAGATTTCTGTGTCATGCAAAACTATGATTAAATAAATGTGTATACTTTTTATCCTATTAATATGCTTTTTGTCAGTTTTTACTGAGCTTTCACTCCTACGTATGCATCCATACATACATATATCACATACATATATCCTTTCGTTCAACAAACATTTGTTGAATACTTACTATAATGGCAAACATTGCTTAGGTACTAATGGTACAAGAACCAATGTCCTTACTTTTATGTAGTTGATGTCCTGGCAGAGAAACATCCCTGAATACATTGCATCTGTCTTCTTATTTTGTTAGGTGTTTGGGGAAATATATAGGTTTTAACTTCCAATTTTGCTTTGTAAGCTTTTGAGAGAAGAAATTATTTTTAATTTCTTGTAGTTCACCCAGACCTAATCATACCTTGTACATAGTAGGTAGAGTGACATAAATGTTAAAAATTTGTTTTACATGGAGTTCATTTCATGGTCTGTTTAACTTAAGTTTATATAAAATTTTCTTTGCTTATTTTAATGTTATATTTGTAATACTTCAAGATTCTTTTTCTCCTCTACCCTGATCTATTATTATAGGATTTGTTGGACCCTATCTGTAATATTTTTAATTTTATAATTATATCCCTTTTAAACATTTAAGTCCCTTTAAAGCTTTCTATTCTATAAATGGTCCACAAAACATTTTGTTTTTTCCACACTGTAAGCAAAGATAGTCCCTGGAATCAGAATGGCCTAGATTCCAGTTAATGTCGTATCATCCCTTTCTGTCCATGTAGTATTAGGAAAATTTTAAATTTGTACCTTGGTTCTTTCATTGAAAAAATTAGGATAATGAAATGAAAAAGTGAGGGTACTTACTACAAAATGTTGTAATGGCAAAGTGTTGTGAGGAATGGACAATATAATGCACTCAAATTTAAGCACATAGTAATCCAGTCACATAGTAATCTCTGGATAGATGTTAGTTTAAAAAATATTCTATTTGAATGAAGCTGACCTTCACATATTCCTCACTTTAAGAAATTAAATTGCCAACTCATTTAAAAAATACTCTATAGTTTGGAATCTAGTTGAGTTTTAAACCCCACAATCTGGTGGACCAACCAGTGGTCATATATACGTTGGACCTAGACTCCCAGGGAAATTACCTGTCTCAGATATGCCTAATCAGGCATGCTTTAGAAAAGGTTCAAACCTCTAAAGCCAATATTTAACTAGACCAGTTTCCCAGAACAAGTAGTAAAGGATAGGGGAAATAGACACTTTCCTCTTTACCTTGTGTTGTTTTTATTTATTGTCTGATGTGTTCACATTGACCTTGTTGCAGAGAATTGTATTTATTGTCATCAAGTTCAGTGCCTGCCTGCTTTCCCCATTAATATAGTCTTCTTGAGTGAGTGAAGCATGATGTTCTATTGTTCTTTTTTGTTTTTTAATAATAGTTGTGCAGGGTTGAAGTAAGTTACAACAGCAAAAGTGATTCTAGCTATCAGTTATTAAGTGCTATTTATCTGACACTCCCTTAGGTACTTTACATACATATTTTCTAATTTTTACAGTAAACTTTCAAGGGAGTTAATCATCATCCCCACTTACTAATGCAAAGAATGAGACTCAGAGAGAGTAAGTACTTTGCCTAAGGTGGCTTGGCTAGTTGGTAACAGAACTGGAGTGCCCTTGAAATTAACCCTGTTGTTTTTTAACTCTGTCATGGAGGGCAATGAGAATTGCTCATACTCTCCAATTTAACATCTATTTTGTAGAGCCTTCTTTTTCCTTATTGATTATTTTCCTACAGTATGAAGATTGTACCCATTCCACCTGGTGCTACATGTCAGTAGCCACATGGCTCAATAGAACAACCTCATAGCTCCCTGTGCCCCTAGTTTCCCTCTTTCATCAGTTAATTCCTGACATAGAGGGAAGGGGATATTAAAGAGTAATATCACCTTAGTTCTTTATGCAACCTAGGAAATTGGTCACCTGATGGTTCCTGCCTATGACATTTGGAAAATGATGGGGCAGGTCCTTATTCTTGCTCTTGAATAAGATCCCATGTTATTAAATTATTGATAAAAAGATGAAGTTAGCCTCCAGGACACAGAGTAAGAAGGTTTTATTTAGTTTGGCCTACCAAGAGGGAGGACTGTTGCTGCATTTATTTGTTTTTATTTTATCATCTACCTAAAAAAGACATTGGCTAGTGATCTAGAAAGTCAACATGTGCAATGTAACCTGTCAGAGTTGACAGGATCAATGTATTAGAGAAAATGGTTTAGGTGGCAGATGCCATTAGCTAGGATGGCTTCTGTATGTTAACATTTACTTTTATTTTTCTCTCCCTTTTTACTTTTGTGCCTATTTTCTTTCTAAAACTGATAGAGGAGAAGTGAGTCTGGGTGGTTCTGTCTCAAAATTTCTCCTGGCGAGTGATCCTGGCACTCATCCATAACAGCATCTTTTTTAAAGAAGCTAGAGGATGGCATGCAAACCAGGTTAACCATTTTCCTATTTACTTCAAGCTGTATTCAGTTAGACATTGTTCACATCGTTTCAGGTCCCATCTGAGCAGTTCTGACTGCTGCTCATTAAAACCTATTTGTGGGAAATCATAGGAGAAAAATAAGCTTGGATTTCCTCCCTAAAATGGAGGAAGGCCAGGGATAAAATTGAATAAATATATAACAGAAACACGTTTGCCTTTGTAAAATGTTTAAACCTGCTTAGACTTCTGATATTTTTATACCTATCTGCAGATCGTTTTATTCTTTTTTTATATATCATTTTATTCTAATTAAATATGTGCTGGGGAACCAAGAGTCAGTAAGAGACATGATCTTGGCCTCTGTTAATGTAGAGTACAGTGGGAGGAAAATACACTGAACTTATTATGCATACAAAGAAAAGCTACATGATAAATGTTAAGAAGAAAGAATTAGAGCATTATGAAAGTACTTGCAAGAAAAGGACCTCGACCAGTAGGTTTTAGAGGAGTGATGGGGGAGTTGTGTTAGGGAAAGCATTCCTGAGAAACTGACATTTTCATAGGTACCTGAAAGGTGAGCAAGAGGGAATTAGGCTGAGAGCTGAATGGTTAGAGTTCCACGCAGTGGGCACATCAAATTCAAACTGCTCTGAAGTAGTAGGAGGTGGTTAGTGCATTCAAGGAATAAAAGGTCATTGTGACTGGAGGGGAGGGAGTAAGGGAGAAAGTGGTAAAAGATGAGACTGGAGACTAAGGGAGGGCCAGATTATATGCGACTTTGTAAGCCATGTTAAAGATTTTATACTTTAAATGCAATGGGAAGCCATTGAAGGGTTTTATGCAAGAGAGGGACATGGTCAGGTTTACTAAGCTCAGAAGTAACTCTTAAGACAATTTATTTAGTTATCTGTTTTAAAATTGGGTTTTCCTGAGCTTATAGATTTAAACACGTAGTCTCTATGAAAATTATTCATTACATTCACAAGGAAATGCCACCAGAAAGGAAACCTTTCTGGTTAGGGTATACCATTTCCTCTACCTCTTAATAAATACTACTTTTTGGGTTGTTTTACCAGTGGCATTTGATTTGGGCCTGTCCACCTACCCCAGTGGTTCTCTTACTTTAATGTGTATCATGACAAGACTAAGGGAGCTTGGTAAACATGATTGCTAGGCTCATTTCCCAGAGTTGCTGATTCAGTATGGTTGGTTTAGGGCCCAGGAATGTGCATTTTGTAGTACATAGGTGCTGCTGGTCTGCAGTCCATACTTAGAGAAACACACACACACACACACACACACACACACACACACACACCATGCAGAACACCTTCTGGCCTTTGGGATACATTTTCAAGGTATTCATCTGGGACATGAAAATTTTTCTAGAGCTGTGAACTTAAGTCCCCTTAAATACACACATATTCCACCAATGATAATAGCATATTGCTCTCTTCAAAGGAATATTATGAGAAAACATAGAATCGGTTGACTTAGCTGAGGTCTGGGACAGGGCCATGGACTAAGTGAGGCAAGTAGGGTAAGATAATAAAAATAAAGTGAAGCAGAGCTGCTGTTGTTGGAATAAAGGGGATGGTGGATATGTGTTGAAAGTGCAGATTATTTGTACCTTCCCCAAGCAGGGGTCTTAGAAAAGCCCTCAGGCAAGATGGAGTATTGTTTATAAGTCCCTTGTTCCAGTCGTTGAGATTAGAACACAATAATGCACACTGCCTTGAACAGAGATTGATCCCTTGGGCTAGCTAGAACCATGTTTCTTCTAACATTTACGTTTCATTTTTTAAAAAACTGGAATGCTTACTATGTTGTAGCATTATTTAAGGGACAATGAAAGAGATTAAATGTATGAGATCTGAAGACCTGACATGAAGGAGCCTTGAGTATTATTATATAGATAAGATACAACTAAAGCATGCAGATATTTTGAATCAGTGTCAAAATGAGTAGTAAATGTAGTGATGGTTGAAGAATATCATAGAGAGGAAGCATCACACTGAGCTGGAGTGGCTACAGAAAGGAAGCTTCAGGATGAACTTAAGCTTTTAGTAACTAGGAACGTGGGCTTTCCCAGGTAAAGATGAACAGGATCTTTCAGTGTGCTTTATTCTTCCCTCATTCCATCTTCAATTCTTTATTTTTCTATATACAAAGCTGAATAAAAGTAGATTTACTTGTAAATCATAAGTTTTTGGAAACTGGAAAGTAAATACTAGTTTACTAAGGAGACTTAATGACCCAAGTATACTTTCTTTAAGTTTATGGTTCATAATTCATTCTTTTTCTTTTCTTTTATTTATTTTTGAGGCAGAGTCTCACTGTGTTGCCTAGGCTGGAGTACAATGTGGTACGCTATCAGCTAACTGCAACCTTTGCCTCCTGGAATCGATTCTCATGTCTCAGCTTCCTGAGTAGCTGGAATTATAGGTGACTGCCACCACACCCAGTAAATTTTTGTATTTTTAGTAGAGATGAGGTCTCACCATGTTAGCCAGGCTGGTCTTGAACTCCTGGCCTCAAGTGATCGACCCACCTCAGCCTTCCAAAGTGCTGGAATTATAGATGTGAGCTACTGTGCCTGGCCTCATAATTCATTCTTTCATATAAATAAATACCTAGTAAATTCTATGCTATATATATACTATATGCTATACATAGAAACAACAGGCATAATTTGTAGCTCATGGGGTTTACAGATTAAAAGGAAAGACAATACTAAAGAAATAATTATTAAAATATCCTTGTGTTAAGTGGTAAGAAGGAAAATGTGATAGGAGGGTACTCTAGAGTATGTTTCTAAATTCTGATTCTTAAGGCAATTGATCTATTGATTGCATTTCCCTTGCAGTGATCTTTTTCAAGTCCTTTAATGGAAAAGTATTATTTCCTTTAATAGGGAATATTGCCCTTCTTGTTTCATTGCTAACACACATTTACTTAAATGTATACTTGTTCTGCAAAGATGATGAGCATTAGAGTCAGATGGGTGTAGTTTTAAATGATGGCATGATACTTCTCAATCTGTTTCCTTATCCATGAGATAAATTAGTATAATGTGTACCAAACAGTTGGCATATAGTAGCTGCTTAATGAAAAGAAGCTACAGTTATTATTTTTATTTTTATCATTAATTGTGGAAGTAGTTTTTTATTCAGAGCAGGCACTGATAGGGAAGTCCAAGGATGCTATATGGGGATGAATTCCCACTAAATTAGAAAGAAAGTAAAGGAAGAGAGCTTCAAGACAGTAGAAGACAGTCTTGTCCACGTTATTCATTTGAATGGATTCAGTTTGTGACTACTCACATCCCCCTCATTCATATATGAAATTGTGCTAATGTGGTTATGATTTTGCTTTTGGAACAGGTGCAGAAGTCTACTTCACACATTGTGTGACCCAGATCAACCTGAGAAATGACAAGTGGGAAGTATCCAAACAAACAGGCTCCCCTGAGCAGTTTGATCTTATTGTTCTCACAATGCCAGTCCCTCAGATTCTGCAGCTTCAAGGTGACATCACCAACTGTGAGTCTGCATTTGCTATTTACTTGCCTCAGGGAATGGGATTTCTTTGATAAAGCATGAATTTGGCTTAACTCTCTTAGCAAAGGTCGGGTGACAGACTCTGTCGATTCGTCCGTCTTAAAAACTAATACTTATGGCCCTCTTCAAGAAACTAGTCTAGGCCAAGGTGAAACCCATAAAATTTATGGGTTTTTTAAATTGGTTAAAAGTTGAACACTTTTCTTACTGCCAATATATTCAACAAGTCAGTGTTGTTGATGGATATGCATGATTTTGCCTGAAGGAAGAGCAGTTTTTAATGGTCATTTTTGAGAAAAGGTTTTTAATGTATAAGTACTTGCTTGAATTGCCTCATTTCCTGTGTCTTGCTCTCTGGGTTGCTCTCTAATCATATGTACTTCTGTTTGAGGCAATTGCCTATCCCTTTTGTGAATGAGAGGTCAAATTTTAATAAAGGAACTAAAATTCCAAGAAAATTTTTACCCTTTCTAAGTCTTTGGCTACTGCAATTGGCTTAGCATTATTCATTTTATCTTAGATAGTAAGCTTTGTTTAATTTCTTTTTGATATAAAACCTGTGGTGGTGAAAGTGTATGCAGAGGGTCTGATTTCCTATCTTTTCCCAAAGTAGACTCTAATCTACAAATAGCCAATTTAGAAATGTCATTTATATGCTTATATCTTTCCTAGTTGATAATAGCTATTTACTCTTGGAGGTAGATACCTTAGGATTTTCTTAGGTAGATACCTAAGATTTTCTTCATGATTCCTGAGGGTTCCTGGTTCAATGCCACCAGAAACTTGGGTTAAATCCCCATGCATCTTTTTTCTGCCGCTTTAACTCAGCACAGGCAAGATATAACTCAGTGAAGGTGGGATGGCAGTGGTAGAGTTTGCACTTTTACTGCCAGAAACACTGGGGATAATGGGAAGCAGAAGAGAGCATGCCCATGGCCACGTTAAAATTTTTAGTATATATGTGAACAACGGGAGACTTTGGGTTTATTTTAAGTCAATTCTAGATCCACAGGTCAACAGGACAATAGTATCAGCAAAAGGCACATGTGAGGAGTCTGAAAGCTAAAATTCCTGTACTAAGTATCAGGAAGGGATTCAGATATGAGAAACAAAAAAGGAATAAAGGTATTAAGTACTGAGGCAGCAAGGATACATTTTTCTAAGAAGTTGTACTTGCTCAGTTAGCTTTTGTTTCATCAGGCCAGTTTTCCTTACTGATACAGCAATCCTAGCTGACAGTGTTCATTTTAATCATAGAAAACTCAGAATTGAAGGAAGTCTTAGAGAGCATCTGGTCTCATCTTCGAGCCCTTGGATGAGTTCTCTTTTATTAAATCTCTTTATTGAGATATGATCGACGTATGAAAAGCTATACGTACTGTATACAGTATGGTGAATTTGGAGATAAGTATACATTCTTAAAACCATTACCACAATCTATGCCATAAACATATCCATCACCTCCAAAAGTTTCTTCCCTCTCTTTATTTGTTATTTTTGTTATTTTTTTCTTTTATAATAAGAATGCTTAACATAGGCCAGATGTGGTAGCTCATATGTGTAATCCCAGCACTTTGGGAGGCCGAGGCAGGAGGGTTGCTTGAGCTCAGGTGTTTGAGATCAGCCTGGGAAATATAGCAAGACCTCATCTCTTTGAAAAAAAAAAAAAAAAAGGAGCAAGGCATGGTGGCTTGTGAGTGTAGTCTCAGCTACTCAGAAAGCTGTACAGTGGTTCTCCAGGATTTATTTATCTTGCATAATTAAAACCTTGTACCTTTGACTAAAGTGCCCTGTTTTTTCTTTCCCAATCCCTTGGAACAAGAATGGTATAAAAAGTCCTAGCTGGCAACAGTCTAGTGAGAACATTACCTTTAGAATGGATGTGCCCCATCAGTGTCATTTTGCCTCTGCCCAAGACTTAAATTTGAAGAGAGCATCCTATTGACCTGACATGGATCTTGTTACTACCCCATGTCTAGGGAATTGCAGCATCTTGGATTGTAATCCTATTGCATTGCATGTAATCAGTGGGACAAAGTAACACCTCAAAATAAATATAGGTACTGTCACGAAGAGAACTTGTTTGCCTAGTAATCAAGAACAATGAGTGATCACTGCATAGGTATTCCTAAATATTTGTGAAATGAGTGAATGATTGAATGAATGAATGAATGTGTTTCCAAAAGACCTAAGGAGCTAACTAAGTTCACTGGTCCATATTACCTCTTCACATTCTCTATAAAAATCTCATTAACAGAATCCCATGATAGACTTTTTTTCCTTATTTTTTTCATATTCTATTTTCATTAAATGTGGATTTATATAAAGAAGGAAATAAAAACTCTATAATGACCATGGACCTTATTTTTTAATGCTTTTAATATACATCTGAATTTGGTTTGCTAATATTTTGTTTAGGATTTTTTGCATTCATGTCCACAAGAGTGATTGAGCTGTAATATTTTTTCTTTTATTAATTCCTCTAGTTGTTGGACGTGGAAGTATGTAGCCCTCACAGAATTATTTGGGAAATGTTTCCTGTTTCTGTTTTAGGGAAGCATTTTTAATACAAGTTTGGTGTTATTTCTTTCCTAAATGTTTAGAAGAATTCACTTAGTAAAACCATTTAGGTTTAGAGTTTTCTTTGTGATAAAATCTTAATTTACAGGTTCCATTTCTTAAACCTATCAGATTTCTTCATTTATTCTTTTTTTTTTCAATGTGCTAGAACACCATGATACAATATTTATTTTTTTAACTTTTATTTTAGGTTTGGGGGTACATATGAAGGTTACATAGGTAAACATGTATCAATCTTGTTCATATGGCTAGCCAATTATCCCAGTACCACTTATTAAATTGGGAGTCTTTTCCCCATTGCTTGTTTTTGCAATAGACCTTATTATTTAAAATACTAGTTGTTTATGCTTGAGCTCAGATTTCAAAATTGTATTTACATAATCTTTTGACTTTCATTAATTTAATTAGTTCTATATGTTCATTTTAATCCATTTACTTTTTATCAATCTACTTGTTTTCAAATAGTATGTTGTTCTGTATGAAGTCCTATTTTCCAGGTAAGAAGGTTGTCCTGAATCATGCCAGGAATATGAATTGATATCTTTTTTGGTACTCCAGCTGCTCTCTCTCTCTTACATCCAGTGTGTCTGTAAAGTCTAATCTAATATCTATATGCCCTAGAATTGAAATCTTAAATCTTTGAGAGAACTTCAGATTTCTTATAACTTTGCTGTTACAAAAAAAGAAAAAAAGATATCTTGTTTTTTTTTTGTTTTTTTTTTTTTCCTGAGACGGAGTTTTGCTCTTGTTACCCAGGCTGGAGTGCAATGGCGCGATCTCGGCTCACCGCAACCTCCGCCTCCTGGGTTCAGGCAATTCTCCTGCCTCGGCCTCCTGAGTAGCTTGGATTACAGGCATATGCTACCATGCCCAGCTACTTTTTTTGTATTTTTTTTTTAGTAGAGACGGGGTTTCACCATGTTGACCAGGATGGTCTTGATCTCTTGACCTTGTGATCCACCCGCCTCGGCCTCCCAAAGTGCTGGGATTACAGGCTTGAGCCACCGCGCCCGGCGTATCTTGGTTTTTTAAATTGGAATACTTTCCTGTTAAAACATTAAATATCTAAAACATCTATTTCAGTACCTTTTCAGGTCTCTGAACAATATAGCTAAAAAGAGGGTTTTGCTTCCCTTAACAAAGGTTTTGTTTGTTTGTTTGTTTTTTGTTGTTTTGTTTTTTAGAAAAATTGCTTGGTAATAGCTATCTCTAGGCCTGACAAAAATAACTAGAAGGGTATATGATATTATGTTCACATCAGGGGTCTGGGGGCAGAATGTTCATCCTGCCTTTGGTGGATTTTTGTTGCTATTATTTTGGTTTGTTTTTAAACCCACATGAGACATGCGTGCATCAGAATCACCTGGAAGATTTGTTAAAACACAGATTACTGGGCCACAGCCTGAGTTTTTGGTTGTATGGAGGTATGCATGGAAAATTTGCATTTTTTGCAAGTTTCTAGATGATGCTGAAGGTTCTCTTCATAGCTACACTGTAAGAATTATTATTAATACCTTGCCTTAGCAAATAAATATACTTGTTTCTGGAACAGAGCAGCAGATATATCTTCAAAACGTGACTCACCTTGTAAACAAGTGATGCTACTGTGCAGCCAGGGTTGAGAATTGCTGTCATAAAGTATCAGCCTGTCCAAACAATTTGTATCTCTTTTCCTCACATTTGCACCTTTGCTTTGCATGTATTGATTATATGAACCCCTGACACACCTCATCGTGGATTGGTCTTGAGTCTTTGTCTTACGCTTTTCCCTGCTTGGGACTTCTTGGCACTCCTCTTCCTTGACTTCTTCCCCAACCCCTGAGACACACCTCTTAAAAAAAAAAAAAAAAAAGGCAGCTTTAAGATATAAGTCACCTATTTAAAATGTACAATGCAGTGGTTTTTAGTGCATTCACTGATAGAGGCAACCATTATCAATGTCTGTAATTAGTAAATTTTGGAACATTTTCATCCCCTCAAAAATAAATTCTGTCCCCTTTAGCTATCACTTCCATCCCTCCATCCCCATTCCTGCCCCCAGCCCGAAGCAATCATTAATCTGCTATCTGTCCCTATAGATTTCCCTGTTACCTGGATTTTGGAGAAAAGCTCATGATGGAACTAGAGGCCCTCATCCTTAGCAAACTAATGCAATAACAGAAAACCAAATATAGGATGTTCTTACTTTTTTGTGGCTCTGTTTTGCCACTCTCTGCACAGATTTCACTTATTTTCTCCTGCTTTCATCATGTCTCACTGACCTTGGCCCAAGACATTGAATTGTAGAGGGTACCTCGTCTTTCCTTGAACCTCATGAGTTATAACAGAGTCTGGTGGTGGTGGACAAGGCTTCTGGGCTCTGGGATTGCCATGGATATTGACCTGCCTGTAACTTTTGACTT